GTAATTCCAGCTGGAGAGATCATCCTTTTTGATCCATCAAAAAGCCTTTGCCGCAGAACATATTATGATCTGTAAATTGTATCGAGATAAGCATGTGATGAATCATGTCAGATTGAATCCCTAAGCGCAAGGACACAATAATACATACCAAAGAGGCGATTACACCACTAAAATAGATTTATTCATTTCACTTAAAAGGAGAGACTAGAAGTACAAACAACACTTAAACTAACAAGCATTCATCACAAACAAAATTTAAACTAACAAGCATTCATCACAAACAACACTTAAACTGAATCCGATCTAGTACAAGGAAGACTTAAACTGAAAGCCCTGTGAATATAAAAGTTCACTAATTAGAAAGCATGTCAGTTATTAGCTTGTTCTTTAGAGCCACTTCCATCTCTGAAAGTGGTTCCTTTTTTGCAATGAGATTTTCAAGCAGTCCCGCCATGGACAATCTTTGTTTAATAGCTAATTCCTTTCCTTGATGGTCCACATGCTCTGAAAATCCAACAGATTTGTGGATTCGCTTTCCACTGTACCTGAGTTGCTCACACTTTTTTTGCCTTTCGCCTTAGCTGCCTTCACACCCTGAGGACGAGCCATTGATTGATCTGTTTGTGAGCTTTCAGATTGAACATCAACCTTCTTTTTTTTGAACTTCCCTCACTTTTGCAAGTTGAAGAGTCACACCACTTCTGATCATTGCGAAGCTCTATCCATGCGTGCTCAAGGTTGAACTTCACTTTGTAATCATGGAAGAAAATTTCGTAAGCGACCTTCAGAACATCAGTGTCATTGTAACCACTAGTTTTCTGCCTCTTTGCAGCCTCATAGCAGCCTACGAATTTGCACACATAGTCATTTATCTTGTGCCACCTTTGCTTACAGTGGCTGGCCTCTCGGTTTTGAAAACCAGCAAGCTTAGGAGATGCGTTAAAATAAGCAGAAATACGTTTCCAAAACGCTGATGCTTTCTGCTCATTCCCCACAACAGCATCCTTGCTTGTGTTTAACCACGAGCTGTAAAGCACAATATCTTCAGTTGGAGTCCATTTGCGTCTTTCTCTACGCCCCTCAGGTATCTCTTCAAGTTGCTCAGGATCCTCACTCATTTGGGTATCAAACTGTGGGACTTGTGATGATCCAAGTCCCACAGAATGGGAAAAACTCTAAGGGATTTGGGGTTCTTGTTGGCTATTTAAAAGATCCATGAAATTAGCAGTGTGATTAAATGGATCCATAGAAGACGATGAAGAGAAGTGGTGGTTTCTAGTTTACTATATAGGAGAAGTTGCAAGTGTCTTTGGTAGATTTAAGCATTGAATGGCACTTATGTATTCTCTAATCTACAACTAACAAGCATTGATTAGAATAAGAGATGTGATAACCATTTATCACGACTGCAACTACTAAAACCTAATCTGATCCTAATCTAACAACCATTTATCAAGCCTTTTCCAATCCTAATTTTGAAAACCAAACTAAATCCAGTTCAGTTCTGCTATCGTTCTGGCTACTATGGCAAGCATTTAAACAATCCTAATCTGAAAACAAGTCTTTACCTAACAACCATTTATAACACTACAAGTCAATAACCATTAAATGAGAACATGTTCGACGAGACTAAATGTCAATTCAGTGAAGTAAATTGTTACTGAGAGAAAGATTAAGCAAGAAAAACAAATATCTCAAGATTTTGCTTAATAAAAAAATGAGAACTTACTTGGCTCATCAAAATAAATATGAACGTATATCTTCAGGGTAAACCAAGTTTGAGAGGTCACGAACAGCTCAGCTGTAACAAATGCCACAAAATATATTTAGAAAAAAGCTAAGTAGAGAGGAACAAATAAAAACACCAACAGCATTATTCTGGAAAATCAGCAGAATCTGAGAACTCACTACAAGGAAAATTAATGACAAGGTGAGCAGACGTCCATACCGGCTAAGACACGAGCGGAAGAATGTCCTCAAACTTGGGTCAGCATCGTGCAGAACCATGTCTCCAAAATCAAGAAAAAACTGAAGAATGGCCTAAAACACAAAAATATAATCCTTATGTACATCATACGATAGACCAAAAACCATAACTAAAAGGAAAAGAAGAAAAGCATCTGTCACAGTTCATCAGTGTCCACGTTTGGTTTTCTGAAGTTTGGTTTTAGATAAAAAAGACTACATTCTCTGAAGTTTATCTCTCAACATTAATGTCGTATTGCAGAGAGTTATTTCTACTTACAAGCTGCGAATCACATGGAAATACATAAGAAGTGTTTGACTTGCCTTCTCTTCGGTATCATCAAGATGTTGGGTGAGTCTCGCAGTGATTTTTGGATCCAATCTACACCCAACAACTCTTTCAATTAGAATATTTTCAGGAACCTGTACCAAACGCATAATAAGCATAAATCTAATGAGCTCGTCTCTAATCATTGGCTAAAGATTCGAAGCAATGTGATTGAACTTAACCAAATCATCTTATAAGTAGCCTCGGTTCTAAGACCAGCTTGACCAATCTTGAAAAACAACAAAACAGGAAACTCTCAAAAACAAAATCCAAAAAGCACAGCAACCAAGCAGCAAAATTTGATCCGTCATGAAAGTGTTCAGATTTATTTGATCGACATTAACAATAAAATGGATTAGCTTAGCCTTGTGAAATGTACAGTGTATCAAATTTCTTCTCCTCATTCTCAAAAGAAGCGAAATCAAATTTCTGTTTTTCCAGGAACAAAAAAACACCTTCCTACTCTTTGCAGGAACTATACTCAAATGGTATATTATAAGAAGAACAATACGCACAAATGCTTGAACTTGGAAAATTTTGAATAGCTGAAAATAATAAAAATATACCAACTATAAAGTCACTTTAGCCGCTTGTTCAGTCGCCTGATTCACTTCGATTATCTTCTTATTCTTCTCAACCGCCGCTGCGCCGGAATCAACACTACCTTGACCAATCTTGTTCCCGAGAATAGCAGAGACGCCATTGATAGGTTGGTTAATAAAAAACCTGGAATCCCTAATCATGAATTGCTGACTGAGGAACTCGAGATCGAAGAGACATGAAAATGAAGGTGGGTTGATCTGAATCAAACCCTTAAATCTCTTTGTTCATATCGGAAGAGAGAGTAGAGAGAAATAATTTTTTTTGTTTTGTTGGTTTTTGTTAAAAGGAGTCCATTGAACCAGGGATTGACACATTATCGTCTCTAAACAATTCTGAATTAACAACGGTCTCTGCTCTTTTCTAAATATTAATCATTTATTTTTTTTATTTTTTACTTTAAAAAATTCTTAAAAAATTCTTAAGAGACACCAAGTGAGGTGCTCTAAGCGGACGTCTAGACGGTGACTAGACCGAATTTTTGAACATTGGTATTTGTTAATAACGTGTGTGGGGTCTTATAGATGATCTCGAAGCCGACAGTTTTCATTTTGCTTTGATCATATTCTCCTCTTTTGGCTTCTTCATATGTGTCTTGAGTGCCACGCTCGTGAAAGTTCATAAAAAAAAAGAAGTAAGACGAGAGCCACATTTTGGTTTTACACGTGATATTCCTCTGTTTCTTTTGTTGACTTTTTGGTTCATTGTGTGTAATATGTGGTTGACTCTTTGACTGTCACGCCGTGAAGATTCATGAGCTGATATGATTGATTACTCTTTTCGGATTGAAAAAATTATATAATCATTTGGCCGTACAAACCCTAATTTCACTCTTTGTGAATACCACAATTCTCCGAACGCCGAGCATAGCACTTCAATCGTTTATCGCCGATGAAAATTTCTCACCGCCGGGTTGCTGAAGGCCAAATTTTTTTTATCTTTCTCTCGACGGGAGGTCTTGCCGTCGTCAATGGCCGTTTTATCACCGGTGATTCTCATTCTCCGACTCGCCGAAGCCGGTTAAGATTGATGAACGACGCAGATCTAATCAGGTTTTCCTTTTGAAACTCGGAAGCTTAAGCGGACTCATTTCACTAAAATTTTAAACTTTTTTCCAGTGGGTTCTGATAATTGAGCTCTGACAATGGCTGCTTCTCTGCGATTGTTTCTTGGGTTATCACTAGCGTCTCTTTAAACATTGAGTCTCGACTCTCAAGCTTTTGCTGCTTATCAAATCTAAAGTCAACAATCGTTGACTATTTCTCAGGTTTTTCTTCGTGCGTCATGGGTGTGCTTCTTTGGCCAAAACAGATCATCCACTGGGGAAAGTTTTTCATAAACATCTAACCAATACGAGTCTCGTTCTGTATGGGGAGCTCTTGAACCGGCAATGTCGTGTGCGAACCCTTCTTCTGTGAACCGACCAAACATGTCTCAAGTTGCTAATGAACTGAAAGAGTGTCTTGTCTCTGCAAGCTCGAGGGGAAATATGAATGTGGACACTCAGAGTTCTCCTGAAGTGAGCATGAGCTTTGCACTGGGATGTTTCGCAGGGCAAGATAGTTTGTGCTACAAAGTGACACGACCATGCCAATAACTCAGATTCAGCCGTGTAAAAGTATGTAACACAACCGGTCCTTTTCGTTTTGATCATCTTCTTGCCAGGATCATATTCTTTTGTTATTTGGTGATGTTTTGGTTCTTTGTGATATGTGACTCTTGAGTGCCACGCCGTGAAATTTCATGGACCTTCTAGGAAAAGTCTTAAAGGATGACCATACCCATATGATAGTCTTTGTTAATGTAAAATGATTTCAGGAAAGCTTAAGGGATTATGATTCTAAAAAGTCATGCCTTCTAGATTATCTTCCTAAAGTGATTTTTGAGCATTCTTGTTCCTCTTAACCCTCCTAATCCATTGACTTGACAAAGTCCTTTCTATTGTTTAACTTTTTTTAAACTACTCTTATTCTTCTTGTTGTTACATGGGTAAAGACATTGACTTGACCAAGTCTTTTCTTTTAGGGTGCGATTTGGGTTTAGCTTAATTTTTCACTATATTTACCTACCACTGTATTTCTTGATTTTCCCTGGTAGCTGAGAGAGAATGGAGAGTTATGTTGGGCTTTTGTCGGTGCTAATTGCAACGTTGGCCATCATTCATATTGTTCAAGCTCAGGACCAACAAGGTATCTTATTGTTTGACTCTATATACATCCTTGCCACTTCTTCTACAAACGTTTTGGTTCTCAAAAGTTGCTATGGCTAACTCTCAACAGGATTCATCAGTTTGGACTGCGGGATACCCGCGAATGAAGCGGCTCCTTATACAGAGAAGACGACCGGATTACAGTTCTCTTCGGACGCAACATTCATCCAGAGTGGAAAAACTGGTACAAATCAGGCAGATCTGGTGAGAAGATTCCGGAAGCCATACAAAAACCTGAGATATTTCCCAAATGGAACACGAAACTGTTACACTCTGAGTGTGCAGAAGGGGCGCACACATTTGATCAGAGCTTCCTTTGTATATGGAAACTACGATGGTCGTGACATTAAACCGGTGTTCGATCTCTATCTTGGACCAAATCTATGGACAAAGATAGATTTAACAACGCTGACGATAAATGGTACACGGGAAGAGATCTTACACGTCCCAACATCGAACTCGTTGCAGATATGTCTTGTTAAGACTGGCGAAACTACACCGCTAATATCCGCCTTGGAGTTACGTCCCATGGGAAACGACTCTTATATCACTAAATCTGTCTCTCTGAAAAACTACAACCGCTATTATCTTAGCAAGTCAGGATCTAATCTACGGTGAGTCGACTTCAACTGAAGAATGGCTCTTCTTTGTTTTATTTAGTCTGCGTCTCTGTGTTTCGTTCTATATGTTTTCTTTTGTCTTTTGTACCTTTGTGCTGTGATTTGTCAAAGAACTGCTAAAACAACATTTCTCCCAGGTACTCTGGCGATATCTATGATCGCGTATGGGAACCGTACTTTCAGATGGAATGGACACAGGTTTCCGTTCGCGGCGTGGTCAATACCAACCATTATGTTCCACCGAAAGACGCGCTAAAAAATGCAGCCACGCCTACTAATGCCAGTGCGCCGTTGACGATTGAATGGCCTTCAGCAAATCCTGATGAACAGTATTACTTGTACGCACACTTTACTGAGCTCCAAGAGTTGCAGTCAAACGAAACCAGGGAGTTCAATGTCCTGTTCAATGGACTACCTTTTTATGGCCCTGTTATTCCAAGTAGGCAAAGCATAAATACTGTCTATAGCTCGTCATCGAACATTTGCGAAGGAGGGAAATGCAGTTTTCAGCTGGTAAGAACCAACAGATCAACTCTTCCACCTCTACTTAATGCTTTTGAAGTCTACACAGTTATTCTGTTTCCGCAGTCCGAAACAGATGAAAGCGACGGTATGTGACTGTCTTTTCCAGGTTTATGCTTTCTTATGTTTCTAAACAAATAAATCATAAACACATCGAAAACCTTTTTTATGGCAGTGGGTGCTATAAAAAGCATCGCAGCCACCAATGGATTGAAAAGAATCAACTGGCAAGGCGATCCATGCTTCCCTCAGCAGCTTAGGTGGGATGGTTTAAACTGCAGCAACACGGCTACGTCCATACAACCAAGAATCACATCTTTGTAAGTTGAAATTTTTGTGGTACACACACCCATTTTTCAAGATCTTGGTTAGTAATTAGATCATTAACACTTTGAATGTGGTTTTGAACATTTCCCTTAGAAACTTGTCTTCAAGTGGTTTAACTGGAACCATAGCTGCTGCCATTCAAAACCTTACGCAACTAGAGAAACTGTAAGTATTACTTAGTATTGTCAATTGAAGGCTATTACATGGATGGGAATAAATTTGATAAACCTTCATGTCTACATTCTCTCTCTCTCTTGTTAACATTAGGGACTTGTCGAATAACAACTTGACTGGACAAGTGCCAGAGTTTCTAGGCAACATGAGATCGTTGTCGGTCATGTAAGTTTCTCTCAACATATTATCTAATGCTTTTTTCAGTACTCCACCTGAGATCATGGTATTTTTTTAAAACAGAAACTTAAGCGGGAATAATCTTAATGGTTTAATACCTCAAGCTCTTCAAAGAGAAGGACTAGAGCTAGTGTAAGAAACTTTCTACATAGCTTTTAAACTTTTCTCAATTATCATCTACAACCCTTTTGTGCATTTGACGTCTTTAGCCACCCTTTTCTTATTGTAGAGTTGAGGGCAACCCAAGGCTTTGTCTCTCTGAACCATGTAGAAAACCAACTAAGAAGAAAGTTCTTGTGCCAATCGTTGCATCAGTTGCTTCTGCAGCCGTTGTCATCGCTGTATTGGTTCTTTTTCTAGTACTTAGAAAGAAAACTTCAAAAACTGTAGAAGGTATGTACAAGAGAGGAATATCAAATGAGAAAACTATAAAATCTTTTGAATGTCGTTACTCCTTTGCATTAAAAGAAGAGATGCAAACAAAAATAGTCATATGATAATGTTCTTATCCTGTTATACAGGTCTAAACCTGTCGCTGGTGAATGTTACATTTGCTAATAAGAACAGCAGAAGGTTTACATATTCAGAGGTCATCAAAATGACAAATAACTTCCAAAGAGTATTAGGTAAAGGAGGGTTCGGCATGGTCTATCACGGTTCCTTAAATGGATCTGGAGAGGTTGCTGTTAAAGTACTCTCTCAATCTTCAACCCAAGGCTATAAAGAATTCAAAACAGAGGTATTCATGTTTCTGTAACCTTTTCAGCTAAACTATATGATCTGTTACCACCATCACTAGCTAGGGTTATGGATTTCTATATTTTTTTTGACATGAGTCATAACCTGTAGGTTGATCTTCTTATGAGAGTTCACCACACAAATTTGGTGAGCCTTGTCGGGTATTGCTATGAAGGAGATCACTTGGCCCTCATCTATGAATTTCTGCCCAATGGAGACTTAAAACAACATTTGTCAGGTTGTTTTAGTGAGCATACGTGTAGTACTAGCTCATGAAACTCAAAAAAACTCGAATGGATCTAACGATCTAGTATACAGGAAAAGGAGGTAGATCCATCATGAGCTGGAGTATTCGACTACGAATAGCTTTGGAGGCAGCACTAGGTTCGTACTGAGTTAAACAAAACCGTAGCAAAAGATATAAGATTCAATTGGGTTTACTGCAAATCAGCTAATACAGATGACTCTCCATTTGCATAGGACTGGAGTACTTACATATTGGATGCACACCGCCGATGGTTCACAGAGATGTCAAAACTGCAAACATATTGCTGGACGATAATTTCAAGGCCAAAATCGGTGATTTTGGTCTCTCAAGATCTTTCCAAAGTGGAGGCGAGTCTCATGTTTCGACGGTGGTCGCTGGCACCCCTGGATATCTTGATCCCGAGTAAGTATTTTTCAGTTTTCCTACACACACACACACTTGTTCTGAAACTTTCTGTTCCTTTTGCAATGGTTAAATAGTATATAAGTATGCTGTTATCTTGCAGATATTACCTTACAAATCGGCTGGCTGAGAAGAGTGATGTCCACAGTTTCGGGATCGTGTTACTGGAGATGATCACAAACCAACCCGTGATTCATCAAGCCTCTGAAAACTCTCACATCACACAGTGGGTTGGCTCTATGCTTGACCGAGGTGATATTGCGGAGATAATGGATCCAAACCTGCGCAAGGATTACGACTTAAACTCCGCGTGGAGAGCTCTTGAGCTGGCAATGTCATGCGCGGACTCTTCTTCCTCAAAGCGACCAACCATGTCTGAGGTTATTCACGAGCTAAAAGAGTGTATTGTGTGTGAAAGCTCGGGGATAAGTAAGAACAGAGGCTTTGATCCCCAAGAAATTATTAGCTTGGACACTTCGGAGGTTCCCTTGGCAAGATAGTTACCAATTATGGAATCCAATTATTTATAATTATCTACATTTTTAGCAGAAGTTTGTAAACTACTAGTTTAAGGGTATTTGTTAATAACGTGTGTGTGGTCTTATAGATGAACTCGAGGTCGAAAGTTTTCATTTTGTATTGATCAGATTCTCTGCTCTTTTGGTTTCTTCATATGTGTCTTGAGTACAGAAAAAAGTGATTTACCCATGGAATCAAGACGCCATGTTGTACTCTGTATTAAGATGAAACTGATGAAACATTATTAAACAAAAATGTAAGACCAGACACATTTTGCTTTGACACGTCATATTCCTCTGTTTCTTTGGTTGACTTTTTGGTTCAGTTTAATATGTGGTTGACTCTTTGACTGTCATGCCGTGAAGATTCATGAGCTGATATGGTTGATTACTCTTTTCCGATTTGAAACCAGTTTTTGGATTTGAATAATCATATAATCATTTGACCGGAGAACCCTAATTTCACTCTTTGTGAACGCCAATTTTGTAACGCGAGCGTAGCACTTCAATCGTTTTATCGCCGATGAAGATTTCTCGCCGCCGGGAGCTGCTGAAGGCCAAGCAATCTTATCTTTCTCTCGACAGGAGGTCTCGCCGTCGTCGACGGCCGTTTTATCACCTGCGATTCTCATTCTCCGACTCGCCGAAGATAGATGAACGACGCATATCTAATCAGGTTTTCCTTTTGAAACTCCGAAGCTTGCGCTACTCATTTCACTAAAATTTTAAACTTTTTCCAGTGCGTTCTGATAATCGAGCTCTGGTAATGGCTGCTTGTCTGCAATTCTTTCTCGGCTTTAACATTGAGTCTCGACTCTCAAGCTTTTGCTGCTTATCTTCACGACTTCACCAAATCTAAAGTCAACAACCATTGACTATTTCTCAGGTTTTCTTCGTGCGTCATGGTGCATCTTTCGCCAAAACAGATCATCTACTGGGAAAGTTTTTCATAAACATCTAACCAAATACGAGTCTCGTTCTGTATGGAGAGCTCTTGGACTGGCAATGTCGTGTGCGAATCCTTCTTCGGTGAACGGACCAAGCATGTCCCAAGTTGCTAATGAACTGAAAGAGTATCTTGTCTCTGCAAACTCGAGGGGAAATATGAATATGGACTCTCAGAGTTCTCCTGAAGTGAGCATGAGCTTTGACACTGGGATGTTTCGCTGGACTTTGTGCTGCAAAGTGTCACGACCATGCCAATTACTCAGACTCCGCCTGTGTAAAAAGTATGTAACACCAACCGCTCCTTTTCGTTTTGATCTTTCTTGCCAGGAACAGATTCTTCTGGGAGATGTTTTGGTTCTTTGTAATGTGTGTGACTCTTGAGTACCACGCCGCGAAGTTCCATGGGATGATTCTTTTGGATCTAAACCCGTTTTGCTTATAATCACTGACCGTACAAACCCTAGTGTCATTCCCTGAATGTTTAACGATTGGCGATGTTGGTTATAGAAGTCACCAAAAGAGATCCTATTTCACTGTTTTTGATTGCTCGAGTTTCCCAAGGAGCATGAGCTTGGCCACATGGATGGTTTCCTAGGGACAAGTTAGTTCATTGACTTGTCTTCGATCATTGGTTCTCCTTTGATGTGCCAATGTATGCCTTAACGTGCATCTGGGTTATCTTCATTAACTTCATTGACTCCTCTTAGCTATATTCCACTAAGAGTAATGTTGAAGCATTCTTGTACCCTTAACCCCTCACCGTTTTTCTTGACTTCAAAGTCTTTTCTTCTACTGTATGATTTGGGTTTGCTTTTTAGACGTTGGCTCTTATTCTTCTTCTTGTTTCATGGGAACACACATTGACTTGTCAAAGTCTTTTCTCTTAGTGTGCGATTTGGGTTTTGCTTATTTATCCACTATATA